GAGAGAGACATACCTAACACCTTTGAAATAAGTTTTGCAAAGGCAGCTACACCTCTCAACTGAGCTTAAAAAAGTTCTTCAAATTTGATAGTGAAATGTCCTTTGTCTCTAAAATGAAATGCTTACCACTAACAGTCTCGTCCAGTAGTGGAATTCTATTACTGAATGATTCTAAGAGCCTATAAAAATGTTGCCTGTGGTGAAGTGAGACTCCCTGTTTTGAGTATCATAAGCGTTTAAGGCATATTTCCAATTCAGTAATTCAGGCCGTCTTTCTTTTTTTAAATTGTGTGTGGATGTGTTTTTATCATGCACTTTTTTCCTCTCATCCTCTTTTAGAACCCAAGGAAAGAGTTCACCAAATGCCTCAGCCTTCTCTCATCCATTCTCCGCTCCAAATTCCATTACTCACTCACTCCAAAAGTCCCCACTCTCTTTTCTTCAGTTTACATTCTTCCACATGATTATTTGCATATATGTTTGTTCATTTTAAAATGTACATAGTGTTATTTTGAGTGTCCTTTTGCAAAATCACTTCACTGGTGTTGTGTAATAACTTCGTGTTGACTCTTACCCATTTTGCTTTTGTTTAGCTCTAGGGATACATACATTTATCTATAGATCTGTCCACATTTAGATGACTGCATCTGTGTACTGTACAATATTATTTAAATACCACATTCACCTAGAGATGGTTACTTAGGACTTCAACGGTTTTCTCTACCTCAAATATATTTCTCACTAGTAATCTCGAACATGTTATCTCATTAAGTTGTTGAAGGTTTCTGGGAGTATGCACCCAGGCATAGAATTGTTAGGTTGTTAGTTTACATGAACACTCAGTTTCACATGCCACTGACAGATTGTTCTCCAAAAGGACTGCAGCTGTTTACACTCAGTGGATGAAATGTCCCATCCCCTTCCATTTCACCAGTTTCATATCACACCATTTAAATTCTATAATATGTATGTTTGTAATATATCTTGATATATGATGAAGAAAGTCATATCCTATCCCTGACACGTTTGCTCTTATTTTTCAAAATTGCCTTAGTTACCTGAAGGTATCAGTCACCCCTAAGAGTTCTAGAGTCCATTTCTCAGAATCCCACATGTAATACTCTTGCTGGTTTATAAGCATAGTCATATGGTTTTGTCATGTAATAATTATGTGACAGACATACAACATTTTCAAACAGTTATGATATATGAATTTAATTGAGTAGATATGATTGAAAACACATGTGTTAGACACTGAGCACATCCCCGGCATCACAGAAAAACTATTCTCTGTGGTTTGTATTGGATGTATGATGATCTAGCAGACGGATGTTCCCTGGATACAATTTTTGTTCACGTTGTAATACTGTTGCATGCTATGTAAGGATTGTATAGGCCTGAACTTGACATTCAGCCAGGGTTTATAAAGTGATAGCAACCCGTAGCAGTAGAAAGAGAAAATAAGTCTTTGCTTCCACCCAGTATGTTTGTGATAGAAGGCACTGATTGTTTTCCCAACATAATGTTCGAAAATATCATTATTCCAGTTGGCACATACTAAATCCTAATGCTTGACTTTAACATAAACGCGAACTTGTTCATGATCCCGGTTTTATAATAAGCACTACAAAGTCATCCTTCTACTCTTAACTCTACAGCACCTCGTTTTTGGGATTAAGTCATTCATCGCGTACCTGATTCCAGATGTACCAAAAGGCCTGTATGATCGAATACGACGGGAGAAGTACTTGGTCCAAGAAATGATGTACGAGGCCGAACTTGAACATTTGCAACAACAGCGGAGAAAAAGTGGACAGCCTGTTCACCACGAATGGCCGTAGCTGATGCTGCCCAGTAGGGTGGTGCCTTTAGTGGGAAGGAGTGATGGCCACTGCGAATTCTAGGCGAGATCTAGGAGGAAAGCTTTCCTGGCTAACCAAATGTATAATACGCTACTCGGAGATGTGACAGCCGTCACTGGGCTATGGAATGTCCAGGCTTCTAGGGAACAAAAAGGTGACCCGTGACCTTAAAAAGGAGCTCAACTGTCATGGCAGGAAGCCAGGATCTAATTCTCAGAACCAGCCTCAGGGAGTTGTGTATCGAGACCCCCCCCCACCTTCCATCAGCTGCAGTGTAGAGGAAGACTGATGGTGTGGTTTCTAAGACAGTTCAGAAACCAGGCATGACTTAAAGTATCATGTGGTCTTCACTCACATACTAATCTGTCTTTGGAACCGTTGGTTGAGTTGAGGTAGAAAAAGTGACGTAATTCTATTATTGCCTTGACTTCCAGAGCTCCAGGTCCCTTCAGCTTCCGGGGTGATAGGAATTCCCCTTGTCTCTTGCCGAGATTGTGGATCTGTGCCACAAGGAGTTTATGCTGCTTTACACTGACTATGCAGTTGAAGAGTTGCACATTACCTTTGTAGTCAAACCAAAAAACCTAAGATTCCGAAAGAATACCATTCATTGAAATACTATTCTACTGCATCGGCTACATTCGAGTCTGTTTCATCCCGGGCAGAGCCAGGGGCACTGCTCTTTCTTTGTACTAAGTACCAATAGAGCCACATATTTATACAATAGGAATGGTTATTCTTCTATCATTTAGAACACGACTTATCCATACTTCACTGCAGAAGCCTGTTTTATAGTTTATTTACTTTTCCCCTGTTTGACTTATTATAACCCTCACAGAATGTTACCTTGAAATGCTGTAAATACGTTGGTTTTCCATGTACTTTTGCACTTCAACAATATGTAACGTGCATTACAATTTATTGCAGCTCTGAAGCCAGTTACACAGTATGCTATTGTCGTATGTTTATTCAGGAAAACTAAAGCCAGATGCTCTGCAACACCTGATGCTTCTTCAACAATGTGCACTCCTATTTGTGAGCTGCTGAAAATACTGCATGAATATAAATCTATTGTTTGTAAAAAAAAAAAAAAGCACTTTTGAATTTTACTTTTTTTCATCACTAAAGGGAGTTTTCTGTTTTTATTTCTTCGATTGATTGATTTGTTTACTTTTGAAAACTCTCTGGAAACAAAGTCGAATTAATTTGTGAGAGACATAATTTGGCTTTGGTGGAATTCCTATTCCAGTATTAACTCTGTATCAAGGAGTAGGTTTGTTCACAGTCTGCAATAGCAGGATGGAAGAGACATTCACCTGAAGAAAGTCCAGAGGAGGCACAAATTGTGAGGTGAGATACCAAGAAAGAAGAGTGGAAATAGGGGATCTCATGGTAGAAATAAGACAGCCTTCCTTGTAAAATACAGACATCCCAGTTTTCTTCCCCTTGAAGTATGGAATCACTGATATGCATGCATACATATGTAACATTATTATTATTGTCCATTTTTTGTATAATTTGGAAAATCACAGTTATTTCCGAAATTTAAAGGACTAATATTTTTTGCTATAGGGCATGTGCACTCACCAGAGAGATACAGAGAAAGTGAGAAATTACTCCCCAGGCGGGATGGCCACACCTGCAGTCCCTTCTCCATTCTCTCTTGGGATTTGGGGCTTGCATACTCATACACCACCCAACATGATTTTCAGGCCATTGGATCTGGAACTCAAATCCCAGTCAGCCATTTGGGAGTCCAGCAACTTAACCATTATGCCACCTGCTGTCCCCTAAGAGACTAAACACAGTGGAAATGAAGCTGTTTTGCATACAATTACATGTAACATAGAAATGTTTCAGTCTAGTACTGACAGGGGTGGCAGTAGGCTGTACCTCATGGCCAGGGGACAGCAGGCCGCACTGTCTAGGGCTGTGTAATGCAGTGTAGGGTGTCACTCCACAGCAGGATCACAGAAAGATGCACTTGCTGGGATATTTCCCCCGTCGTTACATAATACCTGATTGTGTAGGCCAGTGTTTCTGTAGTTTAAGTGGAGTTCCCTTATTAGAAAACTATTTTTATAATTCTAATACCAAAGTGTTCTGTTGCCTTTTCCTTCTGTCCCTGCAGGGAAAAGCTGATAGATTACAGTTATTTCACTGCTTGTTTTGGTCAAGAATAGTCACTTCCTCACCTGCCCTCTGACTCTGAGCATCTGCTCACGTGCCCTGGGGACTATCCATTCAGATCCAAAGAGGCTCTTCTTTTGCTCCTCTACTTTTTTAATAGCAACTAATACCATTAGCTACACAAAGGACTTTTAAACTCCTCCATTTTTTGTGACATCTGTATTTCTACTTTCTCTTCAGCTAAAGGTATACACATTCCAGAATACAAACGTCCTCTATGCCTATTGATGACGAAACAAACAAAAAACCCTGACATTGACCTATTTTTCTAATTAGGTTCATAAAACAGAGACGTTTCTTTTATAGCAGAGCAAAGAATAATGATAGCTGAGTCCTTGAGAATTCTTTTTGCAAGTTTTTTTTTTTTATCGTGCCATCAGGGTTTAAGGTCCTACTGATTGGTTATAGAGAAAAACATGAACAAACAAAGCTATTTTAATAAAAAATTAAAATACGTTGATTTAGAATATGCCTTCTCTGGTATTTTTGAAACAGGTGTGGAAAATAGAGACACAAACAAGCAAAATTATCTAAAAAGATGTTTGTTTTGTGAAACAGTGCCACAGAACCTAGCTAGGCCTTCATCTTTGTTGATAATAGAGTACAGAGAGCCCCTTGTGGTATGTTAGCTTTAGGTCACTCTGCTTTAGTCGAGAAAAATGTTTTATATCATGGTTTTCATATGAATACAGATTATTTCTCAAAGATTTATAGCACACACTATCTCAGGAATTCTGTATTACATGAATGCTGCTTATATATTTTCATATTCCAACTTGTGGTCTTTTCAAGTGAATACCTAATATATATGTGCATGCAGTATGCCTTGACAAGTTGTTCAAAGCTGAAGAGCTTTTCCAATATGCTGTATGGAAAATCGTCTAGATCGTAGCTGAAACTGTTTGCAGTCGTCTGCGTCTGTCCATGCACTTTTAGATAAAATGCTACTGAGTGACTGCATGATGAGATACAACTTGGAATGCTGCACATTCTTCCAAAACGACTCTTAGCACAATGGATTATACAATGGAATAAATAGGAAACTTTTTCACTGAATAAAGTATCATTTGATATGGCATTTTTCCTATAATCTGCATGTTAACTTTAATTCTGCTTTTTTTAATATTAAATTGGGATGTGTTGATGGTATATGAGGAGGGGATTGTTCATTGTTTAACTCTACAAAGCAATGGTTTCTTATTGTTGCA